TTTTATAATAATATAATTTGAATTTTTTTATTTAATTTCACTTTATATAAAAAAATATAATTACTACTTATATAATATAAAAAAATACCCACAACTACGTGCAATGACGGCTCTAAATTCTGGAGGAAGTATAATACTCCAATTCAATGAAGACCGCATCAGGCACTTATACATTGGTCTGTTGGTGCAATTTATATATATATATATTTTAACAAAGAGTCAAATTCAAATCGTTACAAAAAAAAAAAAAATTGCACTTTACGTGTGGTCTAAGATTACTGGCCTTCAGCCCAAGTGTGGTGCAATTTATACTTTAATTAGTACTAAAATATAAACTATAATAGTATTATATAAATATCCCTTATTCCTATCTCTAAAGGGTAATCATTCAAGCACTTGCAGTGGCCTCAAGCCACCCGTTAAGTGCATTTCCCCTCCTCTTTATCAACTGTTTGAATCTGACTTTTTACAAATTTATTCAAAAAAAAAAAATCGTAATTATTCAAATATATATATATTTATTTAAAAGGGTTTTCAATGAAGGCCATTTATCTACCCCACAATTGTTACGTTAATTTTGAGAGAGCGCCACGTGTTCCAGTTGTAAAGTAGAAATGATAATACATTCTAAGGTGCTGCTGCCACTCGCCAAATCACGAGTAAAATGATCGATAAGTCACACTCCTCTTTTACTTTATTATTATTATTATTATTATTTTTTTTGCAGGAGAACCCTTGTTTACATCGGAGTTCTTGCACGAAAGGGTCCGAGATTATTTACGTGAATTGCGGAATTCATCAAATCAAATTCCTAAAGAGCTGACTACCTTGGCCAGTCTGCAGATTCCTAAAGAGCTGACTACCTTGGGCCGTCTGCTGGATGACAAGAGCTTTAGAGTTAAATATGGTGAGAATTATCGCCTCAGAATCATGGGGAAGTTATGGCTTGCCGAAATGGAGGAAGTGCTTTATGATACTAATCATATAATTGATGAGATAATGGATGCCAAGATATTCATGCTAACTGCAGAAGTCCAATCAAGTGCCAACGGCCCATGGAAACTCATCCTTAATTTGTTTAACAAGATTTCAAGGTCTATGCATTATTATCAAGAAAAAAGGATGGTTTCCAAGGTGAAGTATATAACTGTTAGATTAAAAGAAATTCTTGATAAAGGAAAGCAGTTATTAAAAGAAAATTTTCATGGAAGATGGACGGGCAGATTAAGAAAGCTTTGCGGAGGCAGACTAACTACGCCTGGTAACATTCTACCTCTGTTTGAATTTGCTATTTTTCCACGTTTCTTTCTTAAAGCATTTACATCGGGAGAGAGCCATCATGTTACATCATCCCAGCTCATATTACTTTCCCTTGTTTCTTTTTATAAATTTAGTTTGAGTTTTAATTTTTAAAATATAAATTTTAAATAAAAAATTAATAATTTATATAAATATTAATTAAAA